GGGGAGGTATGGCAGAGTGGTGTGGGGTGGCCCGAGGGGGTGGGAGAGGGTCCGGCCCACGCTGCGCCTGGGCTGGGACTGGTCCCCTTGCTTTACTTTTCAAAATAAAATAAAATTATAATAAGGAAAAAAAAGAAAAGGTAGCCTCAGGGCATTACTGGGAGAAACAAGTCTCCACCCTTTTCAGCCTCAAGCGTAGAAGAAAATGACGTTGCTTTAGGAGAAAGCCAAGGAGTGCCATGTTTCAAAATGGTGGCTAGCACACTCTGTTCCAGAGTGGCAGCATTATAGTGAATTTACTGCTCAAAATCAGTGTCAGAGTGCTCAGAAATCTAGGTGCTTGACCCCAATATCCAACAGAGAATACATCCTGCCTACTGCTGCAGCTGGCAGCGGACCTTGGCATCATTGCCATGGTGCTGGTTTTAGGTGCATGTGGAATGTAAGTGTTCTGAGGTCAGTAAGCCTTCCGCATAGATTTTAGGAGAATTGCTGAGAGGCCAGACAGCACATTGCTCCTGAGAGTTAGTGTGGAAAGCTGTGAGTGTGATCCAATTGTGTAGGGGAGACATCAGGTGTTTGGGAAAGCCAGGTAGATGGATTGTCTAAGGAGAACTGCAAGGAGAGAGCAAAGCAGGGTTAAGAGAGAAGCCATGGGAACTATGACCAAGAAGCATCCTGGAGGTGGAGCCACACAGAGCTCACAACTTGTTACAGATTGCCTCTGCTGTTCCACATGAAGCTACTTGACTTAATGATTGATTTTCTGGATTTTGGACTTGCTTGTTTCCCAATGCTTTGAAACCATTGTTTGTATCTTTTGGAACGTTTGGTAATGTTTTTCTTGTGCCATTGAATGCTGTGTTTCAATTTAATTTGGGTATGGGCTCACACCTAAGACTGCTTAAATCTCACAGGAGACTTGTGACTTAGCATTCTCAGCAATGCTGAAACTGTTAGGACTTTGACAACTCTTAGAGATAGACTAAAATGCCTTTTGCATAAAGGGATGTACATAAGTCTTTCAGGAACAAGGGCTAGAATTTTAAGGTTTATGTTTAGTTGTCTGCCAGAGCCTCATGCATGCATCGGATGGGCCTTTTGTTACTTTTTTTGAGAAACTCTGCAAAGAAGCAGAAGTAAAAGAAAGAATATTGGCTCTATTATTTCTCAGGACATGGAGAGAATCTGAGGCATCTAGGGTCATCGTCTTACCTGACACAAAGGATTGTTGGTGTTACATGGATTTTTGCCAGGAGCACAGTCTGATTGGCAGGTATAGTGACAGCTAAGTAGCTGACTTGGGTCTCCCCTGCGGTTGAGGAAAAGTGAAAGGATGTTGTATCTAGGACTGATGCCGGGCCTGAAGGGGGTGTGAGCTGTGGTCTTAGGGCCTCAGCCCTGGTAGATGACTACTACTGATTTCAACAATTCAAATTCATGCCAGAACCTCTTTGCAATTCATGATTGCATCACGGTCCAAAGCTGGGCTTTATGGCTGGGAGTACTGACCACACCCTACTGTGGAAGATAGCATATAACCAAAGGGAGGGAGAGAGGCTTGCTTCCTGCTGCTCCTCCCTTTTTGCTCTTGCTGTCTTTGCTGGTTTCTGCAGCCACGAACTGCTGCCCTCTGCAGTGTGCCAATTGCCTTGGAGCCAAATGAGTATGCCCTGAATTTTCCAGAGATTCTGAGCTAGGTAAACTTTTCCTTCTTAAATTTGGTTGTGAGGGTTTTTGTCTCATATATGAGAAAAAAGCATCTAAGACAGATATCCAGTCTCATTAAATCTAAGATTAACAGTTCAATCATGAAATGACACTAAAATGTTAATCATGCACTTATGTGCCTAGGTATGACTGCCACCTAACATGAATTTTCCCCTCCTTCCCTTCCTCACTCTCTCCATCCCTGCCTCCTTTCCCTCTCTCCTTCCCTCCTTGTCTTATGTGGCAGTAGCCAGGATGGAATCCTGGACTTTAACACATCTCCAGAGCTCTTTGAGTATTTATGTTGAGACAAGGTCTGGCCAATTTGCCATGTTGCTTGGTGGGCCTTAAGCATGTGATCATATTGTCTCAGCCTTGTAGGACACTGGGATTTCAGGTATGTGCCACCTCATCTGTCCAATTTTTCTAAAATTAAAAATTGTTTGAACTGTTAGCATTTAAAATAGGAAAGGATACATACATAATGTGTTGTAATATAACAGGCATTGGATTTTTATGTACTGGGTATTTTCAACAATGAGCCTTAAATTGTCCAGATCTCAGATGAAACTTGTGCAATTAAAGCTCCATTTCAGCTCTTGTACAGAATATATTCTAGAGGAGACACAAGGGTACAGGGAGATCAACAAAGTAAGGTGACGCTTGCATGCATTTTGGCTTTGTTTTTATTCTATGTACTTTTTCCTTTACCCTTGATTTTTTTCTTTCCTGTCTCTGCAACTAAACTGAGATATTAAAGGCAAACAAAGATTGTGCAAATTTAAATTATACCAATATAGGAAAAATAGTAGATACCAAATATGCTGAATTGATGTTCCCAAAATTGAAGAATATATTATATGATATAATGGAGGTTAACAGTGAGGACATTTGTTAGAGAAAAGAGAAGGAGCATATGAATGTGGCATGGGGAACAGACAATAGGAGTACTCATCAGAGATATGAGGGATAACAAAGGGTTGCAAAAGCATTGGCAAAGCATCCAATTTGCAAAGCAAATTTTATAGAACAAAACTGTGTGGTAGGTACAACATGGATCAAAATTATTATCAAACACTGAATCTGAGTGTTTTTTCATGAAGCTATGTGGTCCAGAAATTTTGTGTGACTTGTTAGTTCTTAATTACATATTTTTTGGATTTCTAGCTTACATCATTTAATCTTGCAGCAATTGAAGCAGATTCCCTCGACAAACAAGGCAGCAGAGACTGAAGCATCAAGGTTGAGACTGACAACATTTGGTGAGAATGGCTTTAGATCTCAGAAAATCACTTTCCCGTGAACCTTCCTCAAACAACCTCGAAGTAGAAAACCTGGCGTTTAATTTAAACCAAGATTCAGCAGTCAGAGAAAGAGAGACTTCGGAGTTCTCAGGCCTTGAGCTCAACTCACTTCAAAACAGCCAAAATCCAAGTGCAAGGGCGGAAATACAAAGACTCTGTGAGACGTTTCACTCATGGCTGCAGACACGGAAGCGTAGCAAGGATGAGATTGTGGCTCAGCTAGCCGTGGAGCAGTTTATGCTCAGTGGCCACTGCAGGGACAAGGCTATGCTGAGGAGGAGATGGGAGTCGAGTGGGAAAGAGCTCGAGAAATTCATGGAAGACCTTCCTGATGACTGTATGAAGCCAGCTGAGTTGGTAAATAAAGGGATCTCGTCTTGGGAGAGGGGCCAAAATAAGCACAGTTATTCAGCATTACCTTAAAGCCAACAGTTATTTCAGATTCAGCTATTGGAACACACAGTCCCCACCACTCTTCCTCACCAAGGAGAATTTCTACTGCTCTAAGTTATGAAGAAAAAGCAGAAGTGTATGCATTCCTTCATTCTACAGGATGCATATTAGCCAAGAATATTTTATGGGATTGATTTATTCAAAACAGATACATTAATCTATCCACCAAATAAGTATTTGAGCAGAGGCCTCTAATATGAAAGAAATGTATTGGGCAAGAGTTGCTTCAGCACTCAAGGAGCCATAACTTAAGTAAATTAATTAGAGAGGATATACTGCAGTAGTTTATAGGGGACACTCTGCCTTAGATTCCCAATTGTCAAAATTCTGTACACTTGTAATGCCAAAATTAGTATGCAAAACACCATCAGTCATTGGCAAATTTGTGCAGCATGAGAGAAAAACCATGCCCATGGGCACACATTCTGGGGTGCTGAATAAGGGTAGAATGCCATCTGGATTTTTTTAGATGGTAGACTATGAAGGAGATTTCTCTTTATCTGCATATTTTATGCACATTTTCACTTTGTTCAAATTTTGTTTAAAATCACACTCAATAATAATACTAAAATCCTGTCTAGCAGAGTTTCTAGGAAGATGAAAATTCTATCAGGTACGCTATGGAGATGTTGTATGTGGGGCATACACTTTGTACAGGAGAAGTTAAAGTGTGAGGAGCCATGAGTTCATATTAACTGATCAAGAACATGTGAGACATGATGTCTTCAAATAGATACATATGAAACAATGTTAAGTATTTAAAAGAAAGCAGTGTGTGTCTGTGTCAAGCATATTACCCAGGGGCAATGATGAAATATTTGGAAATACATTGTCCATAGTGACTTCGAAACCTAACAACATGTAAATATTGATAATGACACCATCAGAGAAGATGGATGTAGTAATTCATAGACAAAGGTTATGTGAATGTTGTTAAGGGTAACTTTTCCTAAAGGACATTGTCATATGACACAATCATATGTGGTTATGGTCTCACCCTTTTCACAGATTCAAGTGCGCATGCAGGGAGAAGAAGCTCTTTTTGCTGAGGACATGCCCTTAAAAGAAGTTATTGCTCATCTCACAAGACAGTTGTCAGCAAAATCCTTAACAGGAGAGAATATTGGACCAACCTTCCAGGCTTCCCAGAATGCTCCTTTGGAAGCAAGACAAGGTGAGCCATGTGAATCTACACCTCACAGAGGTATTCTTGATGGGCCAGTGGGTGTAAAACTTCCTTGCATGACTACTTTGTTTCCACAGGAAGAGAAAATAAAGAAGATAGAGGCACAAATTCCTGGAAAGTGGCTGATGTAAAGGACAATAGTCCAAATCCAGAAAAAGAAATAGGTTCCCAACTCATGATCCCTGAAGAGAGTGGTCACAGGCCTGAAGGGGCAGGTCTTTCCTGTGAGAATGCACACCCATCCAGAGGAACAAGGCCAGTCATGTGTGGGTTGCAGGAAGAGCCCCAGAAGAGTCCTAGTTACCAAGATGTTCCAATGGATATGGGACAAGGATTTTCCTCTAGGCCAGACCTGTCCTCTCCTGAGCCTGTCTCTAATCATCACAGAAATGAAGGACACTCTTACAGAGATTTCCATGTCTCTGTAGATGAGGCACAAAGATATTCCACCAGGTCACAAGGATCATCTCCTGAATCTGTCCTGAACTACCATGAAGCAAACTCTGACCAAGATGTTTCTGCAGAAGAGCAACCCCGTTCTTCCTCCATGTCAGATAAGTCCTCCCCTGAGGCTGTCCAGAACATCATCAATGAAGTGAATACTTCCCAAAATGTATCCATGGAAGGGAGATCAAGATCATCCTCTAGGTCAGACCAGTCCTCTCCTGAACCTCTCACTACACACCACAGCAATGAGGGCAATCCCATCTGTCAGGGATCTCAAGAAGGAGTCACTAGATTCTCTAAACCATACCGATGTGAGGAATGCCCAGAGACTTTTAGGTATCCTTCCCTTTTACAAGCCCACCAAAGAAGACATAAGAATGAGAGGCCATTTGTTTGTACCGAGTGTAAGAAAGGGTTCTTCCAGAGATCAGATCTACGGGTGCATCAGATGATTCACAAGACAGAGAAGCCATTTACTTGTGCCACATGTGAAATATCTTTTACACACAAAAGCAACCTGCGAGTTCACCAGAGAATACATACAGGAGAGAAGCCCTATAAATGCCCCTTTTGTGACAGAAGCTTCCGCCAGTCTTCCACATATTATCGTCACAAGAAAATGCATGAGAAATCTGGATCGCAAAATGTTCCCTCCACATCAGAATCTTCCCCTGCAGCCACTGAGACTACAATGGACACAAATCCATATTGAGATAATTGGTTGCCTCGCATTATCCAGTGACAATGTGTCATGTAATTTCTTGGTTGTGCTTTCTACTTAGATTCTTCCTTCACCAAATATGCACCATTTAAGGGCATATGTACAATGGCAACCTATTCAATTAAGTATGCTACTTGACCCAACTTGGCTGAGTTCAGGAAGAGCTTCTTTCAGAGTTACTTGGAGAAATTCAACTAGAAACAGTCATTGAAGGACTGGCCAAATAACTCAGCAGATTAAAGCACCTCCTTAGGCAGACATGAGGGCTGGGTCCTCGATCGCTGGCCTGCTCCTAGGGCATGCTGAGACAGTG